TATGTGTTAATTACTTGTAACAAAACTGTTGTGATTACTGCATTTTCATAAAAAGATTTTCGATTATAATTAATCCTGTAAAAAGAAGATTATAAAATTTATAACCAATAATAAGTTTAAAATATTAAACCATAAATGTTTGAACTTTAAAAAGAAAAACGCATGCAAACAATCATATTTATAATTATGTTAATTTTTTAATTTATTAGCGCATATCAACCAGTGTAACAAATAATACTTTTTTTAGCAGTAAATATATATATGTATAAAAATAATTTAATTCCAAGTATAACGTATATATTGATATTAGCCAAATATATCGCTCTCCTCAATTTTAACTTTACATTCTATTTTATATTATTTAAAAACTTTTATATATGTAGATGTATACCAAACTTTCAAATATATTAATATTTTTTTAAAAATAAGCTATAAACAAAATTAATCAGTTGTGTTAATATGATAAAATTTTTTAAATTTATGTTTGTGTGTTAATGAGCTTCAATTTCATATAAAAACTGATTTAAAGTTAAAATTATTTATGTCTGCAGTAGTGTTTCTATTTGTTATTACATTTTATATATTTATTAAAAAATATTGTATCTTAAAAACTAATTATGTATAACAACTATGCATAGTTTAAACGACTTGAAGTTGAGAATCGGATTTTATAATAAACTTAACAGACCTTATCAAGATTTATCACAGACAAGTGAATCTTTGCGGCAATGTGCAAAACATCATTGTGTAACAAATAATACTTTTTTTAGCAGTAAATATATATATGTATAAAAATAATTTAATTCCAAGTATAACGTATATATTGATATTAGCCAAATATATCGCTCTCCTCAATTTTAACTTTACATTCTATTTTATATTATTTAAAAACTTTTATATATGTAGATGTATACCAAACTTTCAAATATATTAATATTTTTTTAAAAATAAGCTATAAACATAAAATAAATCAGTTGTGTTAATATAAAATTTTTTAAATTTATGTTTTTGTGTTAATGAGCTTCAATTTCATATAAAAACTGATTTAAAGTTAAAATTATTTATGTCTGCAGTAGTGTTTCTATTTGTTATTACATTTTATATATTTATTAAAAAATATTGTATCTTAAAAACTAATTATGTATAACAACTATGCATAGTTTAAACGACTTGAAGTTGAGAATCGGATTTTATAATAAACTTAACAGACCTTATCAAGATTTATCACAGACTTTGCGGCCTTTGCGGCAATGTGCAAAACATCATTGTTATTTTTTCCAATTAAAGTTCGTGCACTCAAACGGCTGTAAAATTGGAGATTTTATTAATAATTTTAATATAATAATAACTACAAATAAACAATTAATAACGATATAAAGGAAACAAGTTTAAAAGCATACTATTTATTATAAAGTTGAAAAAGTAATATAAACATAAATCCAAAACAGCCTTCTTTCCAAATTATAACAGTTTTGATGACAGAGTTTGACAAAAGCAATTAGTAATGAAAAAATTGCTTGAAATAAATTTTTTCATATAAATCTATCAATTTAAAACTTTTAGATTTTTATAGAGACTTCTTATTTTATAGAGATATCTCAAGACTATTGCTAATGCTCATTTTACTATTTTATTGCTACTTGAAAAAAATTTTGAAATCGCTTCATGTCATAAAATCTGATATACTCTAGAAATTTTTAAACATCTTCGACAGTCGATGAGGCGTTGATAGGAGATAAACATTTGCTAAGGAAAAAAAATAATTTTTAGCACTTTTTTAAAAACGTTCTTGTCAAACTCTATCTTAAACAAAACGTATTAACTCAAAGCAAAAGCGTTCCTGAAATTATATTTATATAAATTTTTCTCATCCGTACAATGAATAGAATGTATTTCTAAAGTTTAGCCGTTTATTTCTGAAACATTTCATATTTATATCGGAATTCGTTTGTATGCTTACATTATGCTTATTCTAGTGTGCCTCAAAAAATGTATCGATTTGAGATATAATTATATTCTGCGACTATAATTTACTGTTTATATTTTACTTACGTATTGGAATGTATCGCCAGTCATAAACATTCTTATATTATTTTGATAATGGTTTTGTTGATGGTCATCGTTTCTAATATGGCGCATACGATTTGGTACAATATTAAAATACTGAAGAAACCGAGTTATTAAGTTATGACCATATCTAGTTCCAAGAAATTTGATTAATCTGTTATTAAAAAATAGTAAAAGAATGTAAAATAATGTTTCCGATAATGACAATACTTATAAGAAAATGAACAAAACTCTTTTTATATTGCAATTAATAATTATTATATATAAAAAAATATAAAATTCAACATATTGATTTTATCTTAATCTTTTCCAGCATTTTGATGATAAAACAACATGGCATTGTATTTAAAAAATTTTAGTATTACTCATTTTTTCGCCACAATATCTCTACAAAAATTTATTATAAGTTTAATAACATACTGTCAAAAGAAAAATTTGTTAATGGTTCATTAACTTTTTTATGAAAATTAATTGTTAAATTAATTAATTTATTAAAAATAAGTACATACATATTTTTATAGACGCATTAGTAAAATATATGTAATAAAACATATTATTATATTTTCATAAATTCATAAATTTTATATTTTGTATGTTCTCTAAAATGTTATATAATTCTCTCTTTACACTTACTGTTACAAATATTTTTTTTTAAATGTAAAAAACAGGCGTGCGCGCGCGCGAATAATCATCAGTTTCTATTTTTTAAACTTAAATTTAAAATTTAAATATGAACTAAATAAATCTATTATACGATATATTACTATATGAATTATATATATCATATATTACCTGATATAAATACGACAAAAGCAATACCAGCTTTAATGCTAGCAATACTAGTTACAAACGAATATAACCAACAAAACGTTTGCATTAAGATTTGCATTAATGTAGTAAAACACATCATGAATACTAATTTAGGGGTTTCCTACTTAAACTTCAATAAAATTCGACAAGTTCTTTTTATTCAATCTTTTCTATGCGACTTTTGCTACCAATATTGCGATGTTGTATTAATCGCCTATAAAAAAGACATTTATTTTATATTTATAACGAAATCTTGTTGTATTTGCCTGATAGCATAGATTTTAAGTAAAACAAAAAGGTTGAACTGTATAACAATGAATTGTCAGATTGAGAGAGACATTCATGGGAGCATAAACAAATAATTAAAATGATAAGATATATAAAAATAGTAAAAAAACTGTGATGAAAAACATTAAAGTGAAAAGGAAAATACAATCTCGTTTTATTTAATAATATGTACTATTATCATTTGTGTAATATATTTTTGATTGGAGCCTAGATAGATGCCATAGTCAAGAGTAATTACATATTTATAAGAATTAATATATATATGTACATATTTAAAAATTAATAATAAATTATACTCTCTTTCCTTTAAGATGTGAAATCACGTGAAGGACAAGATGTTTGTATTATCTCTCGATGCTTTATAAGATCACAATTATAATAGCTATAAAAGGTCATGATAAAAAGGCTTTCAAAGTTTCTCTATTTGTTCTCGACCAAGCTACAATTTTTTTCGCGGATAAATTAATAATTCAAAAATAAGATTAACACTCAGTAATCTTACAAATAATTATAACAATGAAAACTGCTGATTAATGTGACATAAATTAAAATATTGATTGTATTCTGCAAAGATAGCCAATTCTATTCTCTAACCAATCTTAAGATAGTATATGTTCGACATTCTAAATATAATAAAGAAAGTAATATGAAATTGCAATAACAAAATATTGCATACACCATTGACGGTATATAAAAAAATCGCGGTAAATCTAGTGATTTCAATATACAAAAATTTAGAACAAATATTAAAATAATCGCGAAGAAACGAGATACAAACGCGGCAATGCGAAGCACAACTTGGCATGCGAAGCAATATACTAAGATGCTAATAATTAATTTTATAATATTAATTTGTTGCTTTTACCAGACCGTGATCCAAGTCGTTGTAGTCTACTTCTCTTATTCACGATACGACAATGACAAATATTGGCTTCTGAAAAATATAAACGATATATTCTTCTACCTCTTTCTCTCTCTCTCGCTCTTTCTCTCTCTCTCTCTCTCTCTCTCTCTCTCAAATCGTGAACAAATGCCAAATTATAAACTATTCAAAAACGGAAATAATATTCACGATTATCTAGCTGCCAAAAATTTATGTAGTTATATAATATTAATGTCTAATCAACGCTATTTAGAATTCTTTTAATTCGCATATATAAAATGTAAATGTCATTTGCAATATATGTTCAAAAAAATTTTTTTACTTTGTATAAGTCCTGTACTTGCGTGCAACAAACTAACAATAAAAATATTATTATATTATATTTAATAAGTATAATTATGATATATTTTATATCGGTATAATCGATTAATCGGTAATTAATTCTGCAATACTATTTTATAGAAAAGAGGTATTTTTTAATTAAAAAAAGGACAAGTTTTAATAATTTGTCAAGTTCTTAATATTTTTTATTCAGTATCATGCAAGTTAATGTACAACAAACATATGTCAATAAAAAAACGATATAAATTTACATAATCAAGTATTGTGTACTTGACAAAATGTATATAAACACATATCAATTTGATATCACAAGAAATTATTTAAAAAATTTATATAAAAAACTGATTCGTTTGTAAAGTTAAAATTATTTCTGTTTATAATAGTTTTTCTATTCGTTATTACATTATATATTTATTAAAAAATATCTTAATCTTAGAAATTAATTATGCACTATGCATAGTTTAGACGACTTGTGAAGTTGAGAATTTAATTTCATAATATACTTAAGTGGGGATACCCGTTCGAACCTTCGAAAAAGGAGTACATTTTCTAGATTTTTTGCAGCTCTATGCTTTGAAATAAAATTTTTTTTACAATATTAATACAATATTATTAGGTATTAAATAAAAATTTCCGGTTAAAATTTTTTTTTTTAAATCTATGCGGATATTTGCACAGTATGCATGAAAACTCGGGCTATGTTCGACGAATCAACTTCAAATTTTGCATACAAATTGCTAATAGGATTCCGCATCTGCTAACAAAGCCTTTTTTTAATCCGATTTTCTATTTTTTTTGTTATGAACAAAGAAAGATGGACTTTTTTCAAAAAAAACAAAACTTTTTTTAACACGCAGCCATTTTTTTATTTTTTAAAATTGAAAAAATACGCTTGGATAGCAGAGAGCTATTAATATGTCTAATAAAAAAAAAAGTTGTATTTTTTATTTCAGATTTACGTACGTTTTCATATACACCGTGCAGCCATTTAAAATTTGGAATAGCTCTGCAAATATACCTACAAATGTAACTTAAAAAAATTTTTTTTTTTTTTAATTCGAACATTTTTATTTAAGTAGTTAATAATATTGTATTAATATCGTAAAAAAATGAAAAATTTTTATCAAGTCATTGCGCTGCAAAAAAATCTAGAAAATGTATTCATTTTTCGAGGTTTCAAACGGATATGCTTCTTTAAGAAACCTTATCAAGATTTATCATAAACAAGTATATCTTCGCGGCAATGTATGAAACATCAATGGTATCTTTTCAAATTAAAGTTAGTCCTCATGCTGCAAAATTGGAGATATTAATAACATTATTAATATAATAATAACTACATAAACAATTAATAACGATATAAACGAAACAAGTTTAGAAACATATACTGTTCACTATAAAATCGAAAAAGTAATATAAATATAAATCCAAAACAGTTTTCTTTTCAAATTATAATCGCTTTTATGACAGAATAAGACAAAACAATTAGTAAAGAAAAAATTGCTAAAAATGAATTCCTTTCACTTATCTATTTGAATTTATCGATTTAAAACTTTTAGATTTTTATTTAATTAGCTATTGCTAATGCTTGTTTTGCTATTTTATTACTATTTGGAAAGAATTTTAAAATCGTACTATCGCTTCGTGTTATGAAATTTGAAATACTCTAGATATTTTTAAACATTCTCGACAGTCGATGAGATGTTGATAGCAGATAAATGTTTGCTAAGAAAAAAAAAATTATTTTTAGCTCTTTTTCTTAACAATATGTTATTATCAAACTCTATCGTAAACAAAACGTGTTTATACGTAATTCAAAACGAAAGCGTTTCTGTCTTTACGTTTATATAAATTTTTCTTATCCATATAATAATTAAAATATATTTCTAAAGTTTGACCATTTATTTCTCAAACATCTTATATTTATACCGATACTTTGTATGCTTACATTATATTTATTTTTAATGTGTTTCAAAAAATGTATCAATTTGAGGTAAACTGTGCATATGATTTACTGTCTATATTTTACTTACAAATCGAAATGGATTGCCATTCATATTTCTATGTATGTTATTTTGATTATGGTTTTGTTGATCATTGTCATCTTGGTCGTCGTCAGGGCCCCAAATATTAAAAATCCTATTAAATCAGATTACTAAGTTTTAACCATATCTAGTTGTACGATATTTGTTTAATTTGTTATTAAAAGATAGTAAAAGAATGTAAAATAATGTTTCCAATAATGATAATACTTATAAGAAAATAAACAAAACCCTTTTTATATTGCAATTAATATATAATTATATTAATTAATTATATTAATTGCAATATAAAAAGGGTCTTGTTCATTTTCTTATAAATATTGTCAATTGTAAAAACAAAGAAATTTCAGAATTAAAAATTAAAGTTAAAAACTATTATTGGTTTAGATATAATAGTCATCTCCGATAAAAATTACCAAAACTAGAATAAATAAATAATTAAATGAATAAAAAAGTAAATTAAAGACGCGTGTGATATACAGGGTGCGGCATTTATCACACGCGTCTCTAATTTACTTCTTTATTCATTTAATTATTTATTTATTTTAGTTTTGGTAATTTTTATCGGAGATGATTATTTTATCTAAACCAAAAATAGTTTTTAACTTTAATTTTTAATTCTGAAATTTCTTTGTTTTTACAATTATGATTATTATATTACTTATTTCTTCAATTATAAAATTAGTAAAAGTAACAATATTATATAAATACAAATTTTCTTTATTTGTTCCATAATTTAAGTATCTCATAAGTGAAGTCTTAATTGATTATGAATTGTTCATATATAAATTAATTGTGTATGTTAAAATATTAAATATTGGTTTACCCAATCACACAAGAAAAAACCATTAAGCACACAAGGAATATTCCTATTTGAATTATACGAATATTCTGTTCCATAATATCTATATCTCTTGGAGATTGCGCGGCGTATTTTATATCATCTTCAGATTCAATGTTGTGAATATCTTCAGTAGTAAAATATAGGTTTATATGTAATAAAATTATTATATTATTATTATTATTATATTTTCTGTAAACTCACAAATTTTAAATTTTAAATGTTCTCTAATATGTTATTATATAATTCTCTCTTTACATTTATTTTGATAAATATTAAAAGAAAAACAGAAATAACGTAAAAAACTAACGCGTGTGCGCGTGCGCAAACAATCATTAATTTTCGTTTTTAAAACTCAAATTAAAAATTTTAATATTAACTTAAATAAATCTATTATAATATATTATTATATGAATTATGTATAATCATATTTTACCTGATATAAATAAGATAAAAGCAATACCAGCTTTAATACTAGCAATACTAGCTACGAACAAATATAACCCACCAAACGTTTGTCTTAAGATTTGCATTATAGTAAAATTCATCATGAATATTTGTTTAGGGATTTTCTACCTAAAGTTCAATAAAATACGGGACGTAGTTTTTTTTATCCAACCTTTCTATGCGACTTTTACTATCAATATCGCAATGCTGTATTAATCGCCTGCAAAAAGACATTTATTTTATATTTATAACGAAATCTTGTTGTATTTGCTTGATAACACAAATTTTAAGCAAACAGAGACGACGAATTCTATAATAATAGTCAGATTGATGAGAGAGACATTCATGATAGCAACAAAAAATAATAAAAATGATATGATATATGAAAATTGTAAAAAAAGCTGTGATCAACAACATTAAAGTAAAAAAACTATGCAATCTCGTTTTAATTAATAATGTGTAAGTACTATTGTCATTTGTACAACAAATTTTTGATTGAAGCATAGATAATTGCCATAATTAAGAGTAATAACATATTAATAAGAATTAATATATATGTGTATATTTAAAAATTAATAATAAATTATACTCTCTTTCCTTTAAGATGTGAAATCACGCGAGGGACAAAATGTTTATATTATCTCTGGACGTTTTATAAAATCATAACAACTATAGTAGCTGTAAAAGGTCATGGCAAAAGGCTCTCAATGTTTCCCTATTTATTTTCGACTAAGACAGAATCTTTCTCGCGAATAAATCAATAATTCAAAAGTAGGATTATTACTCAGTAATCTTACAAACAATTATTACAATGAGATCTGTTAATTAATGTGATATAAATCAAAATGTTAATTGTATTCTGCAAAGATAATCAATTTTATTCTCTAACCAATCTCGATATATATATTCGACAATATCTAAACATAAGAAAAAAAATAATATGAAACTGTAATAACAAGATATTGCTATTTTTATTGCAATTAATGTAAATGACAATTAATATATAAATTGCAGATGTCAATGTCGGCGAGTCTTCAAAACATCAAGCACAAAATCAATGATACAGAAAAATCCGCAATAAATCTATATTTGTGATTTTAATATACCAAATTTAGAACAAATATTAAAATAATCACGAAGACAAGATATTAACGTAATATTTGGCATGTGAAGCAATATACTAAGATGCTAATAATTAATTTTATAATATTAAATATAGTTGCTTTTACCAAATTGTGATCCAAGTCGTTATAGTCTACTTCTCCTATTCACGACACGACAATGACAAATGTTGGTTTCTGAAAAATATAAACGATACATTCTTCTCTCTCTTTCTTTCTCTCTCTTGTAAAACGTCAATTGGTCCATTCGCCTAAATCTTATTGGCTGTCAGTGTCGCACAAAGTTGTTTATCTTTAGACACTCATCAAATAGTGCAAACGAATGCCAAATTATAAACTATTCAAAAACGGAAATAATATTCACGAACATCTAGCTGTCAAAAATTTATGTAGTTATATAATATAAATGTCTAATCAACGCTATTTAGAATTCATTTAAGTCGTATATATAAAATGTAAATGTCATTTGCAATACGTGTTTAAAAAAATTTTTTGACTTCGTATAAATCCCGTGCTTTTGTGCAACAGACTAACAATAAGACGAATATAATTATATTACATTTAATAAGTATAATTATGGTATATTTTATATTGGTATAATCGATTAATCGGTAATTAATTCTTCAGTACTATTTTATAAAAAAGCGGTATTTTTTAATTAAAAAAAAGACAAGTTTTAATAATTCATCAAATTCTTAATATTTTTTATTCAGTATCGTGCAATTTAATGTACAACAAACATATGTCAATAAAAAACGATATAAATTTACATAATCAAATACACAAAATATATATAAACACATATCGATTTCATATCACAAGAAATTATTTAAAAAATTTATGTAAAAACTGATTTGTTTGTGAAGTTAAAATTATTTCTGTTTACAATAGTTTTTCTATTCGTTATTACATTATATATTTATAAAAAAATATCTTAATCTTAAAAATTAATTATGCAACTATGCGTAGTTTAGACGACTTGAAGTTGAGAATCAGGTTTCATAATATACTTAATGGGGCATACCCGTTCGAACATTCGAAAAATGGGTACATTTTCTAGATTTTTTGCAGCTCAACGATTCGAAATAAAACTTTTTTTTACAATATTAATACAATATTATTAAGTATTAAATAAAAATTTCGGTCAAAAAAATTTTTTTTTTGAAGCTATGCCGATATTTGCAGATTTATGTTTTCATGCATGATGTATATGAAAACTCGGGCTATTCGACGGATCGACTTCAAATTTTGCATACAAATTGCTAATAGGATTTCGCATCTGCTAACAAAGCCTTTTTTAATCCGGTTTCCTATTTTTTTTGTTATAAACAAAGAAAGATGGACTTTTTTCAAAAAAAAAAAAATAAAACTTTTTCAACACGCTGCCATTTTTTTATTTTTTAAAATCGCAAAAATACGCTTGGATAGCAGATAGGTATTAATATGTCTAATAAAAAAAAAGCTTATATTTTTGATTTCAGATTTACGAACGTTTTCATGCACACCATTTAAAATTTGGAATAGCTCTGCAAATATCCCTATAACTTAAAAAAAAAATTTTTCTTTTCGGCTGAACATTTTTGTTTAAGTAGTTAATATTGTATTAATATCGTAAAAAATGAAAAATTTTTTTCAAGTCATTGCGCTGCAAACAAATCTAGAAAATGTATTCATTTTTCAAAGTTTCAAACGGATATGTTTCCTTAAGAAACCTTATCAAGATTTTTTATGAACAAGTATATCTTTGCGGCAATGTATGAAACATCAATGATATCTTTTCAAATTAAAGTTAGTCCTCTTGCTGCAAAATTGGAGATATTATTAATATTATTAATATAATAATAACTACGCATAAACAATTAATAACGATATAAAGAAAAAAGTTTAGAAGCATATACTGTTCACTATAAAATCGAAAAAGTAATATAAATATAAATCCAAGCTTTCTTTTCAAATTATAACCGCTTTTATGACAGAGTAAGACAAAAACAATTAGTAAAGAAAAAATTGCTGGAAATGAATTCCTTTCACTTATCTATTTGAATCTACCGATTTAAAACTTTAAGATTTTTATTTCGAGACCTCTCATTAGCTATTGCTAATGCTATTATTATTTTGCTATTTTATTACTATTTGGAAAGAATTTTAAAATCGTTTTATTGCTTCGTGTTATGAAATTTGAAATACTCTAGATATTTTTAAACATTCTCGACAGTCGATGAGATGTTGATAGCAGATAAATGTTTGCTAAGAAAAAAAATTATTTTTGACACTTTTTTTAACAATATGTTATTATTGAACTCTATCGTAAACAAAACGTGTTTATACGTAATTCAAAACGAAAGCGTTTCTGTCTTTACGTTTATATAAATTTTTCTTATCCATATAATAATTAAAATATATTTCTAAAGTTTGACCATTTATTTCTCAAACATCTTATATTTATACCGATACTTTGTATGCTTACATTATATTTATTTTTAATGTGTTTCAAAAAATGTATCAATTTATAACAGTTTTTAATTTTAATTTTTAATTCTAAAATTTCTTTGTTTTTACAATTATTATTATATTACTTATTTCTTCAATTATAAAATTAGTAAAAGTAACAATATCATATAAATAAAAATTTTCTTTGTTTGTTCCATAATTTAAGTTTCTCATAAGTGAAGTCTTAATTGATTATGAATTATTTATATATAAATTAATTGTGTATGTTAAAATATTAAATATTGGTTTACCCAAGCACACAGGGAAGAAGTATTAAGAACACAATCATAAACCCTGTTCGAATGAATAGACGATTATTCTGTTCCAAGATTGAAATATCTATATCTATTGCAGATTGCGCGGCATATTCTATATCTTCTATATCATCTTCCGATTCAATATTCTGAATGTATTTTTTTGTATCGGTTTTAATATGTGTCGCCTTAATTGGTACTAATACCATAAAGACTAAAAAATAATTCTTATTAATAATCCAATACATAAATTGATAACTATCAATTTATCAATATTATTACTCATTTTATTATTCATTTTTTTTGCCTCAATACCTCTACAAAAATTTATTATAAGTTTACTAACATTCTGTTAAAAGAAAAATTTATCAATGATCCATTAATTTTTTTATGAAAATTAATTGTTAAATTAATTAATTTATTAAGAATAAGAACATACACAATTTTATAGATGCAGTAGTAAAATATAGGTTTATATGTAATAAAATTATTATATTATTATTATTATTATATTTTCTGTAAACTCACAAATCTTTATAATATATTATTATATGAAATATGTATAATCATATTTTACCTGATATAAATAGGATAAAAGCAATATCAGCTTTAATACTAGCAATACTAGCTATGAACGAATATAACCAACCAAACGTTTGCCTTAAGATTTGCATTAATCTTATAGTAAAATGCATCATAAATACTTGTTTAGGGATTTTTTACCTAAAGTTCAATAAAATTCGGAACGTAGTTCTTTTTATCCAACCTTTCTATGCGATTTTATTCAATCAATATCGCGATGCTGTATTAATCGCCTGCAAAAAAGACATTTTTTTTATATTTATAACGAAATCTTGTTGTATTTGCCTGATAACACAAATTTTAAGCAAAACAGAAACGACGAATTCTATAACAATAGTCAGATAGAGAGAGACATTCATGACAGCATCAAAAAATAATAAAAAGATATGATATATGAAAATTGTAAAAAAAACTGTGATCGACAACATTAAAGTGAAAAAACAATACAATCTTGTTTTAATTAATAATGTGTAAGTACTATTGTCATCTGTACAATAAATTTTTGATTGGACCATAGATAATCGCCATAATTAAGAGTAATAACATATTAATAAGAATTAATATATATATGCATATATTTAAAAATTAAAAATAAGTTATCCTCTCTTTCCTTTAAGGTGTGAAATCACGCGAAGGACAAAATGTTTATATTATTTTTGTGGATGTTTTATAAAATCATAACAATTATTGTAGCTAAAGGGTCATGGCAAAAGGCTCTCAATGTTTCCCTATTTATTTTCGACCAAGACAGAATTTTTCTCAATCAATAAATCAATAATTCAAAAGTAGGATTAACACTTAGTAATCTTACAAACAATTATTACAATAAGATCTGTTAATTAATGTGACATAAATCAAAATGTTAATTGTATTCTGAAAATATAATCAATTTTATTCTCTAATCTAACCAATCCCGATATATATATTTGACAATATCTAAACATAAGAAAAAGAATAATATGAAACTGTAATAACAAGATATTGCTATTTTTATTGCAATTAATGTAAATGACAATTAATATATAAATTGCAAATGTCGATGTCGGCGAGTCTTCAAAACCTCAAGCACAAAATCAATGATACAGAAAAATCGCAATAAATCTATACTTGTGATTTTAATATACCAAATTTAGAATAAATATTAAAATAATCACGAAGACAAGATACTAACAAAAGATTTGGCATGTGAAGCAATATATTAAGATGCTAATAATTAATTTTATAATATTAAATATAGTTGCTTTTACCAAATTGTGATCCAAGTCGTTATAGTCTACTTCTTCTATTCACGATGCGACAATGACAAATGTTGGTTTCTGAAAAATATAAACGAGATATTCTTCTCTCTCTTTCTTTCTCTCTCTTGTAGAACGTTAATTGGTCCATTCGCCTAAATTTTATTGGCTGTCAGTGTCGCAAAGTGCGACTGTTAATCTTTGGACACTCAAATAGTGAACAAATACCAAATTGTAAACTATTCAAAAATAGAAATAATATTCACGCACACCTAACTGCCAAAAACTTATATAATTATGTAATATTAATGTCTAATCAACGCTATTTATGATTCTTTTAATTGGCAATTATAAAATGTAAATGTTATTCGCGATATATAGGGTGGACTAGTAACTCTTGCCACTTCGAATATCTTCGAGTCTAGAACAGTTACGAAAAATTTTTTTCTACAAAAGTTTTATGGTTTCAAAGGGGCCATCAATTTATGTCTATATATATCAATTTATATAAGCATAATTAATTATATTCTTCTATAGTTTTAACCGTGTTGTATTGTTTTTTAAGTAGTTTTAATTGTTGACAGCGTTAATTAATTTTTTCACGTTTATATCGCCGGATATTATCAGCTGTCAGATTTTCGCAGAATGTCATAAAATGTCAAAAAGTCGCGATATCTTGTGCAATATTGTTTTATTAGCGTATAAAATGTTAAGAATGTTTTTTTCTATTTTGTGGAATTCTATTCGGAATTTTAATAAAAGACGCGTTTTCGAGTGATGTTTGATCGCTTTGAGAGCGATTAAACCCAATTTACCATGAATATATGTTTGACAAAAAATAGATTTTGAGAGAATCTGATTAATATAAACAATATAAAGTACATTCCCCGTTTTTAACGCTATTTTGTCTTTAAAGTATAAGATTCTTTGCCCTGATTAATCAATCAAACGATTACTCAAAGTATTCCATTGATTAATCTATATAATAATTCAAGTACCCTTAATAATTCAAGACGAAGTATATAACGTTATTAATTGGTCTCAGAACGATCAAACTTACTTCACTCAAAAACACTACGTTACCGCCGGCATAGCTCTCAGGTTCATTAGAGCACTCAAACCTCCTCACCCGGCAAATGCCTTCGTTAAGGTGGAGATACCATCGAGGAGGAAAAATTTTTATTTTTATTTGTTTGTAATATATAAGTTTCTTTTAATAAGTAGGTTTTACAAATCAAATAAAAAATATAATACACGAAAAATTATATAAAATGTATAT